AAGCCTCAGTAACGGAGACGTAACGGGGATATAGTCTACCAATGCTCGCGGATACGAAGAAATCTCGAGACAGACAGGATGCTTGTTTAATCCCTTTGTGAGGCGGAACACAGATCGTCTTATGAAGTTCTCTTACAATTTGAACATGCGAATATGTTTTCGTCATGAATGAGACAAGACGCTCAATTGACTTCCCTGCTGCGGAATCATTACAACTGCTTGTAGTACGCAGACAGCAAAATGGTTACAATTTAATCTCTCTTTGAGAGAACAAATAAATATGTATACATATATATATATAAAATATATATATATATATAACATTTATTATAAAATTAATATTAATACTTGAAACACAAAGTGTATCTTTTTTAAAAAGGTTAAAAATTTAAAAAAATAACAATTAATAACAATTAATTTAAACACAAAGAGAAATCAAATTAAAGAATATAAATCATATTTCTGTACGATGGAAAAATAAAGCATCACAATCGCATAAAAGCTTCCGCTTTTGAAATAACTCTGCCTCACTTTCTTTCTCTCTCTTTACGATGGGATGAGCCCGCCATATGGAGCGACAAAAGAAAAAGCTCAGTTACGATAAATTGCATTTCCCAAGGAAAGCGGCTACTTCGACTTCAACGTTTCCTGTTTCCTGGCTTCGTTCCACGTGCTTGCGTCGTCTTGTATATACATACGTATCTATCTACAAAACTACAATATCGAAGAGAATTCCGATAAGTCTAAAAGGAAATCGTTTCGGTATTCCTTCTTCAACGGTAAGGGATGTTTAAGCTTTATGATCTCGTAGACATAATTTTTAAATGATTTTAAGACATTTGACCTTTTATCGATCCACTCGCGCGACCTCACGTTTGATCAGGATTCTTTTCTCGTGTCCTTCGGCTGTATCTGCTTTTCGCGATATCGTTTTTCCTCCGTTATCGCACGCGACGATCGATACACGCGCGAGCATCGTTCCTCGTTAATTAGAAAGGTGATAGCCATTAATTGTAGTTTGAGAATCGGCACCCGCGTTGCGGTTCGCTCCGCAATTAAGGCACGCTAATTGAACGCTTCCAATTATCAAGCCAGAGGGGCCGCTGGCGAGAGTAGTACAAAAAAATGTAGCTCGCTTATATTCCTGTCCGCAGCTTGTGTCTGCCGCACGTCTAGCGAAACGAGATAAAAATTCGTCGATCATATTTTCGTCTCGTACGGTCGCATCTGTCGTTTTCCTTGTCAGACTTCTATTGTGATCGCGACAATTCGACGCGGGAAGCAACTGCGACCGGAGATTAACACGTCACATTTAGTCGCGATCGATTTTCCCCCTAATTGTTCCCAATAACCGTTGCCGGAAACGTAACGGGAGAGATTTCACCTTCGTAATGTCCACTGAAACAACCCAGGGAAAGCTCGAGATAGCGTGAGGAAAGTGAGTTACAATCGCGAATGTTAGCGAGGTGAAAACGGTCACGGACTTTGTACAACCGACAGTGGCAATTCAACTTTTTCCTCTTTTTCTTTCTCTCTCTCTCTCCCTTTCGGACATTTTCAACGACGTTGACACTTCAGATGTCGTATATCGATTTAGCGGATTATTCGTTAGACTGCAGCTGATAAAATTGTATAGAAGAGAATTAGGTTAAACCTAACTCTTGCTAAATCGCATATTTCAACAGTAGCGTTTCCATCTATTTCCCATATTGCTCTATTACTTACCGCTCACATACGCACGTTTATTTTTCGTCACTATTATTTTATGAAAAGTGATGTATTAAATCGTCAGAGCTGCATTGCGGTTTATTGAAACGTAGATGTAACATTATTCCGACGTGTATACGCTCGTTGATTTATACTGGGAATTATTAAAATCGTTCTATTATGTTAAACCCATCTCTTCTCGCGGACATACATCTCCTTCCCGAAGGCAAGGCGTTGGAGTAAATAGCACTGTTGCAAAAGCCACTTCTCTGGCCCTTGTCATGTATTCTCCCAAAGTAGCAAGGAAGAGAGAGAAGCAAGGGAGTAGATCTCGACGCGTTGGATAATGCATCCCGGGTCAGAACTGTCCGTCACGCACAACCACAAATTCAGACGATGCTTTTCGGATTTCGCCCGGCATTCGTCAGGCTCCTTCTCACCCACGATGAAAATGTCCGTATTGCACAAGTGAAATCCTAAACATGAAAGCGGTGCGGCTGTTATCTTAAACTGCGACCTATTTCAAACGAAAATACGGACAATTCGTATGGTCACACGCGGGCATTGTTTGGAGTGTCGTATAAATGTTAGATCCGGCCTTTAATTAAGTCTTTGTTCCTATTTGCATAATTAGCAATGAAATTTGTTGAAATTTCTTCTGCACTCTACAAGGCGTCTTTAATAGTTTAAGAAATTGCTGTACGACCTCAGCAAACTGCTCGAGATTTTAATTAAACTTTCCCTGGAAAGCCCTTAAGGCGATGTAAAATGTTAAATTGAACCGAATTCTTTTCCCGATTCTCAAGTAACACTTTCTTTATTTTTAGAAAATGTTCCACTTCTCGTGGAAGCGTGTCAATGAGATCTTAATGAAATTTTTCCTCTGCGATTTTCAGCGGTGAAGTAATTTCTCGGTTTGATTACGCACGTTTTACCAATTGAATTTCAAAGGAACTGAGCGATGACTTTGCAGCAATCCACCCTTTACACCGAGTTTTCCCCACAAATTACTTTCCTACGAATTTTTTCTTTCGGTAGCATGAGCGACGTGCCAGCACGTAGACGATACTCGCTTCTCTTCTAACTCCTTCCTCCCCACTTTCTCTCTACGTTTCCTTTCCACCTGCTGAACCCTCTAAAAGTTCGCCGAGACGAAAGTTCGACGCGGGTAGATTCCAAAGTACGGATTTGTTTTTCCACATCGGTATTTACTTTTTCACGGTGCGATGCATAGAATGAATGAAAAAGGAGAGCCGCTGAGGGATAGGTCTTCCTTCCTTCTTCTCTCTTTCTCCTCCTTTTTTCACGTTCCGCGAGCGCATTCCGTCCGACTGCGTATTTCTATTGAAAGGCGATGATGAATGGCTATTGGGATAAAGTTATGCGGCGCGCCGGCGTTAATGTTGCGAAACACACACATTTGAAAACTGGGTAAATTCGATTTACGATCGGTGGCGCCCAGCAGCGCATATACCTTTTACGTACGATCGAACGCAGAACCTCAGATTGCCACCACGATGGTCGCAAAGAGATTTATACGAAAATCGTCGCAGTTTCCTGGCATTGATATCAACTGGCTGTTATATTGATCAAAATACCTGAAACATCATTTCTATGTTGAAATGTGAAATTAATGCCTTATGACAACCGCGATACGGAATTATTAATACTAATGGCTGTCACATCGATTTTAGTACGAGAATCTTCAACGATGCGTTACGTAATCTGCGTTTATTTCGACTCGTCGACTATGATTCTTATTATATTTTATCCGTCAGTCTTGAATGTGAACGACGATCTCTTCCGAAGAATAAAATCCTAATAAAAACAAACGGTACGAGAACGACGTGACCCCGGTCACCGTCGAACAAAGAAAAGACAACGCTCAGAACTCGGTCAGAAAAGAGAAAACTCGTTCTATTTTACCCTCTGGTCTCTCTCCTTTTCCATCCTCATAGAAATTCCGTGCCGTTTGCTAGCGTTCGCCATGTCGGAGAGCCGTAAGCAAAATGCCGCGGTGCTACACAACCATACATAACCGTGGCGAGATAAGGTAGGGTCGAGTCACGGAGAGTAATGCATCTCGTAGACGTAGGGAATGAAAATTTACCCCTCGACCCTTTCGTCTATCGCGACCACGCTTAATTCGACCGTTACGCTAACACGAAACTTTCCTCTTCTGCTTTCAGGGACAAGATCTTCAGGCTAAATCTGAGTAACATCAGTCATTCCAATTGCGAGGTGAGTTATCCAGACTTTTGTACATTCCAATTTCTACTGACTTAACATGCGTCATCTAATGCGTTACATTCACATCGAATTTACTGTTCATGTGTTTGAAATGATGAATGAAACCTATAATTAAAGTCGCATTTAGCTTTAAATGTGAAAACGTGATCACCTGCTGTGTTTTAGTATGATGAAGCTTTTAGAAACAACTTTGTAAAACTTTAACAAGTTTATAACTTTTAACAAGTTTATAACTTTTAATTACATAATACGTGCAATAAAATGTTATAAATTTTGATATATTTAAAGATGAACATTCCAACTGTATTTAAAATGTGAAGACAGTAGCCTTCATAGTTATATCTTCTGGAACTGATAAAGAAATCTAAATGAATAGAATGCAGTTTCAATGCTATCTACAGACCGTAAACCTTGAACTCATTGTCTCTCAAATATCGTATAAAGAATTCATTTGCCAGTTAGAAAGAACTTAGCCTACCGTACTACGCCCTTTTTTCCCCCGCGGCCATCCGCGTATCGATTAGCATCAAATGTCACATAATGTTTGGCCCCCGTTTGAGGGAAGAGGGGATGATAAAACCAGACCCCGATCGTAACTGGAAAGTGCATGGGCTCCGCTCGTCCCCATAAAACTGTCAATCACGTATAGTCGAGCGAAACGACACCGACATCATCGGGACAGCTGACGCGTATCTGCCGGCTAAGCGATCCATTGTAGGCAAACGAATCGTACGATGATTTTTCCACGGTCTCCCTCGTCGGTGGGATTCGGTTTAAAAGCTCATATATTCTACTCGCAAAGTGCATTTGCGTATTGTACAAATGACGCCTGAGACATAAACAATTACGAGTATATTTTAATCTTCCGCCAGCAATGTTGACCTTTAAAGGCACAATAGATTTTTTGATTGTGAATTCTGGTCGATAAATTTGAATTTTTCTTTCTCTCTCTCTCTCTCTCTCTCTCTCTCTCTCTCTCTCTCTCTCTCTGTGAAAAATAAGTAAAATATAATTCCATTTCTATGATAATAAATATTCGTTATTCGAACTTTCACAAGTATGTACGAATTTTTTTTAAATTTTTATACAGTCTGCACTGAAAAAAACGCATATAATTTTACATGGAAATTACATGTTTATAGCCGAAAAATTACCTAAATATGATTGGAAATTTACTAGACATTGTAAATTTCCAATCATATTTAAGTAATTTAAGTAATTTTCCGGTCATAAACATGTAATTTCCATGTAAAATTACATGCATATTTTTCAGTGTGGAATAATCTACACTGAAGTTCGGAGACTTAGATTGCGGACGAAGGAAAGAAATTTTACATTCTCAACGGAGGGTTAATTATGAAGCTATTACAGCCCTGATAGAAATGTATACAATTTTCCTAGACACCTATCCAGTTACTATCTAATATTACTGCATTCTCATTAGTTGTGCCAATATTTAGTAGGAAATTGACAAGAACTTGATAGAGTTTTATTCTGTCCATTTCATGAGCAATTGGTTTGTTTATTAATCAATTTAATATCCATTATTTGTTGAGTTTCTATTCAGTAATTGGATTCAGATTTTACGCAACTTTTGTATGCAGTAACTGTAAGCAAAACGTTACATCCTGATTGGGATCCTAAGCAGTTTTCCTTCTTAGTTACTAGACAGAAGTTGGTTAGTAGCTGTTCAAAAAGTGCATAAAATTTCTACCAGGGAGAATTTACAGAATATTTTGTTTTCTATGCCGTTTTTTAGACTGAGAATCTTCATTTTATCATAGATACTTCTGAAACGCAGCTTTTTATGTTATATACATTTTTTTTTTATGTACAAGAAAGCTGGCAGATGAATTTTAGTAAATGCGCTTGATCGTTAAAGATTAAATCAAATTCGCTGTGTCGAGATCTCGCCTCCGATGTGCCGGGAACGGCGGTCAGCTGTCAGACTCTCGGCCGGAGAGGGAAAATTGCTTTTTAACTCTCGTTTGCGACAAGATGCGACGTGTCGCATCCACCTGGCGGTGGCTATCTACGATTCTACTCATTCGGCTGACTCTAACCAGGACAAAATCCGATCGTCGACGTTGTTCGTCGATTTGTTCTCTTCGGAGAGACAACGAACGCCCCCCGGCTCGATTGGAAAATCACCGTGCTCCTCCACCTGCCTCGACCTATCCTCGCTCTCGACCTACAGCTTCCGGCAAGAAGTTCGTATCTTCGGGTACTTCATGCAACGTTTCCACGCGTTATCACGATTTTACAGTGTCGATTTCTACTGTTCTAGAAAATAAACGGTTATACCTCGGACTTTCCTTGTGAAAGAGGTGAAGGATACTCGAATGATATAACAAAACACTTAGAGCGATTAATGTATACAGCGAACATTTTATTGGAGAAAAACTTGTACTGGATAATTCTGAGTATCGCTCTGTGTAGCGAGCACTTTTCTTGAAAAAGATATTAACATCAAAAAGATAATTACTCTTGAATAAAAAGACACATTACTTTTACGTAAAAAGATAATTATTCTTACATAAAAAGACATATTACTCTTTTTTTATTAAGGGGTTTATAATATTATTGATTTATTTCGCTTGTTTAGTATACATAGAAACTTCAATAAAGAAAGAAAGTCATTTTTTGAACACAGACAAAAACCGAAGAAATCATGGTCTAATATTGGGAGAGAAACGACGATTCGAGAATGCAATTATATTTGTATCGTTGAATCCACCACCTGTCGCGAGAATGAAAAACCGTCCTTCGAATAGGAGAGAGAGAGAAGAATAGATATCCGCCTTCGTCGTTTCTCGTTGGTCTTCATGCCAGATGCGACGATTGTGGTATCGTTGAAACTAATTTTAACGTGGATGACAATGCGGTCAGTGGATACACAGAAACCGGAGACGCGAAAACGTCGAAGCACGACGTTATAGTTCACTCCACGCCTCCGGGCGTTTCGCTGGGTCGCTCATAATCATTAAATAGATACACGAAGCGAATTGATGTACACGCGCGAGTTATTCGGTACGGACAAGCCGTTCTGCTCAAGTTACTCCAGAGCGTTCACCGCGGAGCGATATAGAGTTTCCATGAATGTAACTTATGTTTCGCATGCTGGGTTTCTGTTGGGTAACTTGCGCGAAAATGTGTCAACGATAGCGATAAAGTTATGTTCTACACGAGAGCTTCGAAGTTTGGGGAAATGATGAAGCAACGATGAAATAATTTCGACCATCGGTTCCGCCAGCGATAAATAATTTATTTGTTGTACGCTTACGTTATCAGTAAAAGAATTTTGTATTTGTGTTAAAACCAATTCACTCAAGTCCATTAAAATTTTGTGTCGAATTTTTATCATATCCGAACGTTAATTCAACATGCAATTATTGGACATACAAGAATCGGAGACGAGAAAATGTCAAAGCACAGCGTTATGTGATTATGTTATTTGAATATTTTGTGTTAAATTGATATTCAACATTTCTTTCTGTCAAAATAACATTTATGAGTAAATGAATAAACAATATAATCATAATGTAAAATGTAAATTCTAAGATAAATGAATAAAACATACGTGTTGATTTTACATATCATAAATGTTAATTTTACTGAAGAAATATGCTTCCATAGTTTGTTTACACATTGTGTTAGTATTAATTTTTTGTTAATTTTTTGCATAATATTTATGTTTTTTTTCTATTATATTTATCTTGTGTAAAATTAATACAAAAACTTGAGTAGACCGTTTGGAACACATGAAATGTGTTAATACAAATTTTCTGTATATGTAATTTTGTCTACGTTAAACAAAAATTAATCATATTGGTGTGCGTGTTATAAAATATGAGAACACATTTATCGTGTCGAGAACTTTGCTAGATTTATTCTTTGGTAAATTTTACCGCCATCTGATTTTGTTATTTCGCGATGTGAATGCTTGGTCCATTCAGCTTGGTTATACAATGAAATCACATTGCGAGGTCGGTCTGTTGCCGCCACCAGAGTTCGATTCCATTGAGAATTAACGAGTATGGAATTTCAATTTTCGTAGCGATATGTGGCCGTAAAACGTTAACGCGGGCCCGAGCAGGCCGCAGTGGTCCCCTTCTTTCGTTCCTTTGTGTTAAGTCCCTGGAGCATTTCGGTCTGCGGAGGATGCTGTCGTGGGGTAAAGTGGAAAGCGAGATACGTGGACGCGAGGTGAAGGAAACGCAAGAAAGAATACCGCGCATAAGATGATACAATTTTGCATTTTACATATATGCATGATGATCGTCCGGCTGCTAGAAGCAGGAAGGGATCGCTATACGGATGCTGTGAGGGAGATACAGCATCGAATGGGGTCAGATCGACTCGAAGACGTTACTTATATGTATCATAAATCGAGCGGACATGTGAAAAAAGAATCGAAATCGAGGTGAAAGATGATAAAAGTGGAAAATGTCAAGTAACCATGTCTAAATATTAAACTTGTAAATGCGGCGGATATAATAAACATTCTAAGCAATTATTATGTATGACATAAATAGTAATATATAGACTCTGTAGTAATTAATCTTACGATTAATCTTGCTTTGAATTTACCGAAAATGTGACAGAATATTTATCCAGAGAGATTTTTTGCTTTCCATAAATTTTCATTGATAATTGAATTTAGTTACATTTGAATAAGCTACGAAAAACACTGTAAGAACAATAAAAAGGCTGTTTCTCAAGATTTAAGATCTACATTTAAAACGACATATTTTCGGAAGCGAAAGTGAGAACGGAAATTCAAATATTTCAAATACATTCGAGACGCGAGTCGAGGCGGGTAGATCTCGATAACATCGCTACAACGTGAACCTACCCTTCGCTCTGGAGACAATGCCCCATGCTAATCCTGCCTCTGTTACAATTTCATAAGGGGAAGAAACGTTTCGTGCGTCCGCCCTGAGGGACACGCGTTCCGGGCGAGTTATAGTACGTGGCTAGAATAGACGGCC